TATGCCGTTAGACATATAGTATAGCTGCCATGTTATAATTATATATATACTTATATTATTTATTCAGGAAGAGTCTGCGCGAAAGGTGCGAATAACGTGTTCTCACCCACGTCTATTATTTTATATTTATCTCAAATCAGATAACGCCGGATCCGACGATCCAACGATTGATGCTCATAAATATTTCTATATGTATAATGTATCCAGCGGGAAGCACGATGTATATATAATTATGTATGTATGGGTACCTTCCTTATATTAACCGAGTGACTTAGATACCACCTTAACAGTAGATACATACATATTATTAAACATACATGATCATAAGCGTGTGTGAGTATATACCTATAAAAAAAAAAATAGAAACATTCAAACGACATGTCATGATTATTATCATTAAAATCATTATATTATTATATATACCTACACTGTGTCCTATATATCAGAAAATTTGTTCGCGTGACTTTGCGGTCGACATCCGCACGTTACCTGTTTATGTGCATGCGTGTGTGTTCGTTTGTGTGTGTACTGTGTACGAGTCGTTCTCGCGGCATTATTATCATATGTGATGGACATATTAGTATATTACGATAAACGACAATGATAATGACGATGGCGACTGGTTGACTTAGTCTTCATCTTCCGTTCCGTGCATTGTTTGGAAATTTATTAACCAATGCTCGTATACATAATATATTGTAATACGACATATTAGACGAAACATAAGTCAAAATACTAAGAGTTGCAGTAATTTTGACATAATATTAATCCAAGTAATTAAATAACAATCCCTAGCAAGYTTTTAGAACTGCAAAGAATTTTTTGTGGGGGGAGCTTAATCTATGTTCTGGACTCTGGTGGACTAAGTTCTCTAATTGAGCCAATAATATTCTGTAGATATACAGTCATTATCTTGTCATTTACCGTAATTTATATCAGTGTTTCTCAACCTTTTTACTGTGGCGAACCCTACATAAATATTTTATACACACTTGCTGAGATTATTAATAATAATTAATACTACAAGTATTGTACACAAGAAATATAAAAGATACATATCATATTATATTTTTTATTTAAAATTTAAAAAACGTACACTAAATATTTCATTTTATTTTATAAATATATTTTTAAATTAAAGTTTTTAATGGCTTGGTTGTTGCTGTTTATGTGATATTATTTCGTCAATTCTTGGTTTAATTGACTTCGTCAAGCTAATTCTCATAGCCGATGAAATTTCCAGACGGTTTATARTTTTATTTTTGTTAATTTGGAAAATAAATTTTTCACACAAATATGTAGTAGAAAATTGAATAAGTAATTTTAATGCTTCTTCAGCTAAACTAGGATATTATTCATTTTGAACCTTTATCCAAAATTGACCTACCTATATTTTTTTTTGTTTCTGAAAATCTCGTGTAAGCCCACATCTGCATTCAATTCAATCAACTTTTCTTCATTTGTTATTGATAGTATATTTTTATCAGATTGTACGAATGGATTTATTACCCAATTACAATTTCTTCGAATGYCTTTTGTGGGGTCGAAATATTTGGACATTTTTTCTCTTAATCTACCTAAGTGTTCTTCGATAATAATACACATTTCATTAATTTTATTTTTTGTCAATATATTTTTCTGAGTCATGTTAAAAAAATTTAGAAGCATATCAAATAATAATAGGTATAATAGTAATAGGTATGTAATATAATAATATTTTTTTATTATTTGAGCTTTTAATTTTCGCATTGATTGAAATCATTCGATAACGACCCTAAATAATAAGTTGGTGACCCTCGGGTTGAGAAACATTGGTTTATATACTTGCATTCTCACCAAGAAGGTAGTCACCCATCCGGTCCAAACGAGTGATGACACGATTATCAACCACTGTCCACTGGATCTCGTTAAAATTTTGTCTGAAGCCAAAAATTATATATATATATACATATATATGATAAGCGGATAGGTCGGAAAGTCGGGTCCCAAACATATTACTCACGCGGATTTCTGTCATTSTATTCTATCTATCGGYGTAGGTCGACGTCTTTGCTGGGAAAATAGAATCGCTAACGGCGGTTTTGTTTGTTATAGAATATGATACTACCTGCAGGAACGTCCTAATTACGAGTTCCTCGTATT